TGTACGTGATGGCTACCGCGTGGGCATTCAAGGGACTCGTTATAAATGTTGACATGTAGATTGAACGTGAAAGCTACTTTATAAGGGGCGTTTACGATAGAAGAAGGTCCAATGGACCTTATTTATACACAAGGATTGGGACTGTGATAGCGAATAAGTGTGTAAATGGCCTGATTCGCCTAAACGAAACATTACATTAGCTGCCCACAATGCAGATTTTATATCTACTTTCCAGTTTGACTATTTACATCTAGTTAACTGATGATCGAAAGGCATAATTGAGAACAGCAGCTGGGAGACAGCACAACAGTTGTTTCTTAAGCAGATGCCACCTGAGACCGCCGCAAAAAGCACTTTTCAATCAAATTTTGGGGTTAATGGTTCCTGGAGTGCCGTGAAAATGGTCCCAGTAACAATAACCGCAGCAGAGTTAATAAAAGGGGTTTGAAAACGACAAACTTCTGTGTTCACTAAATCGTGTTTCCACCTTGCTGTCGACACATCACTATTAGAGTTTCTTAAAAAAACCGTGCGAATTGTATGTATGCATGCAAGGGCTGCCCCTTAGAAGACACAAACCTGTAAGTAATCCCGCTGTTTTCACTGAACAGTTCTTTGGCAGAGAGCCCATCTTTTGGAATTTCCTCGTTGTCTCCATGCATGTTTGTCGGAGAGTCAAAACAACAAGAAGCGTGAAAGTTTAGCACACGCCCTTTCCACTTTCGCGGGACCCTTTATATTACTCTCGGAACCTGATGACCTTGGAAACTGAATTTACAAACTCACGAAGGCAAAATGTAAAAGATTAGTATCTATAAATTGTACAAGCATTTGGACTGTAGGTCTATGTACATTTTCGATTTCTCACTTGAGACTTTCCTGTACACCTGAACGCTCCTGTACAGTTGTTTGAATAACCGAAATACACACAACTGGTTTCGACGTGAGTTATCGCTTGCTTGGTGCAATATTGCGGCGTGGTGTCAATACTTCGTTCATTTCACCCGGGCCCTAATCCCTTTTTAGTTAATTCCCACGTGCCATTTTTATTTCTCGAACACATCTCGTCAGACGTGAATCCCCTGAGCAACAAACTGCAGCAACCGACTTCAGTTCGGAACATTCAGCACTTCATCCCGATCATTCACTCCACGACGACTGATATTGTAGGAGGACTAGTTTTCGTGGGTTTGTGCAGTTGTTTACTTCTGCAGTTTTCGCATTTTTATTGCCATTTTGTCTGTAAGAAACGCAGAATTTCCTATCTAGTGTTAAGTTCTTGCTGTACCCATTTTTCTTTGTAGATTTAATTGCCGTTTGTACTTCACGACTTCACGACGATACAATATCATCCGTTAGAGATCAGTTGAATGGTATGGCTAAGCCAAGGTCTGAATTGCTTAGCAGCACTCTGAGTGGTGTGCGGCAAACAGAGAGAGGCACTTCTGTTTACACCACGCAAGGGGCGAGTAAGCGGCAAAATGTTTTGCGGGAGGACACAAGCAATCGGCGTGCCAAGGAAAACTTAAATAAATAATGCCACCCGGAAACAACTGCGTGACATCAAAACCGTTCGTATAGTGTCTACGGAAATCATTCGATCATGCATGCCGAAAGCTTGAACGCAAATGAAAAAGTCGAAATACGGATGGGATGCTTTTACCTCTAAGTTGACGACACTAAAGTAGTGCTGTTCCTAACAGGGCTACCGAAACGCTAAGCGGTTGTGCGGCACCTTTCGTAAATGGTTAGAATTAGCTGGGTTTTCTCTAGGAGCATGATTCGGTACTTGATAGAAAATGTTTCCCGCTTAAAAGGGTTCGTGCTTCTTCCGACCAGAGTGGACGACATCGGAAATTATAACAAGTCTCAAAAAGAAAAGAAGACTGTGGTAGAGATACGACACATGTCAACAGCCCGAACATCTCTCAGGATTTAGGAAATAGTGGAATAGGGATCGGAGCCTGCTGAGGAGAGAACGAACAACACTTGAGTCAAAAATTGTCCAAGAAATGCCAAAGAATCCAAGAAAAATCTTCGCTTACGTAAATTGGGGAAAACCTATTCGGGGCTCTATTCCTTGTTTAAAGGATTATCAAGGAAACAATTTAGCCGATAACTTAAATGAGACGAAGCTCGTTTGCGATTGCTTTATGTCTATGTATACCAAAGCAACATCTTTTGGTGAGGAAGTACACCAGCAAACTGCCCCACCTAGAAATAAATTTAACACGGTGGCACTCACAGCGGACGCAGCAAGGAGAAGCCTGAGATAGCCACAAACCGCTTAATTACCTCGTCCGAATGGCATATCCGCAAAAGTTCTTCCTGAACTTGCAGACTAGCTTTCCCACTCTTCATGATCCTCGAAGGCTGTATGGAAGTGCGGCTCTGCCTGCCGACAGCCAACATAAGCTCCGCATACAAAGGGCGAGAGAGAACCTCACTAAATAGCATCACATTAGTGAATTTCACAAACATTTGTTGCAAACTTCTGGAGAAAATAGTAAAAAAAGCTTATGATACATATTAGGGATAACAACTCGTCTAGTTGCCAACAACACGGATTTAGAGGTGATCGGTCTTGCCTCATAAACCTGCTCGTATCCACGGAAAGCTCTACGAAATCCTTGAAGAGTGGTTTGTCAGTAGATGCAGTCTACATTGACTTCCGCAAAGCATTTACAGAGCGCTACACAGACGACTAACATCTAAACTGCGCGAAATTGGGTGTAATTGACAATCTGCTCAAATGGTGAGCCGAGTTTCCCACAGGCCGACCTCAGTGTGTGTACACTGGTGACTCCCAATCGGAGTCGAAAGCCATTCACAGCGGGGTTCTGCAGAGGAGCGTCCTCGTTCCCATTTTGTTCTTGATTTATGTGAACAATAGCTTACGCTGTCTTACCTGCGAGTAGATGGTGTTCGCTGACAATCCGAAGATGTGGAGATTGAGTGAAAAACCGGAAGAGGCGTCAGACCTCCAAAACAACTTAGTTCGACTGCAACAGCGATGTGACGAATAGGTTCTCGGATAGAATTTGAAATCTGAATATCAGCCTTTTATCGGAGGTCACGAATCTGAGCTTATAAACGAGGTAAAAGGCCTAGGTGCGTGGATGACCCTCACTCTAAAACCCTTGTCCTATTGCGCCAAGTTAGCAAATAATGCTTTTGGTATCATAGGAGTGATCAGAAGACCCTTCCTTAACTCTGACGACGAGCTTTTCGGCCGAATATGCGGAATATTTATCCAGCTGGGTCTATAATATGACATTCAAGTAAGGCGCCCCTGGTTGATGCAAGATTACACCCTCTTCGAGAAGGTGCAATGAAAGGCGACCAAATCAGTCAGTGGACTAGAGAGCCTACCTTTTGTCGAAACAGCCAAAAAGACTCAAACTTTTCCTCTCTCCTATAGGCAGTACAGAGTGGACATGATAATGGTCTTCAAACTTGTCAGGGGAGTAGAATGTAGACTTAAATTGGCGGATTTTTTGAACTAGCACAAACGACAAGTCTCCGGGATACCGATATAAATTGAAGGCAAAGTGCGCTTAACCTGAAGTACGGACCGATTTCCACTCTCACTGGGTGACTGAAGATTGGAACAAAATAACTCATTCGGCTGTTCTGGCGGAAAGCGTTCAGACGTCTAAACGAAGACTTAATACCATTTACATGATGGCCATGTATTTATTTGATAAGAATTTGTAAAATGTACCCGTATAGTTACGCGAACATGTGCACGTTTTTTCAGTCTACGTCTATAAATCGGTTTTTCAAAGGCTCTGCATATCTCCCTTATATTTACTGAGTTATACTCGGCTATTTGAGAAGGCAGTTAGCATCGATGGACTCCATTTTCTTGACCCAGCTTAACTTTCAAGTAAATTGAAAACTCTTTTCAAGCACCGTTTCCTTGAATGAAGGGAAAATCTGCATGTTTTTCATCTGACGTGTTTATGACGTCCCGTGAATACTTAATCTGTCTATTGCGTACATTTGCCTCTTCTTACTTCAACAGCTAATCCAAAAATATCACGAGAGTCTTTTAAGACAAAAGGATGCTATCATTTTTTTATGGCAGACGCAGCCTTGTGAGGTAGTTTCCTAGCCTATGCTTACGTCACAGTTCTGCTAGATGATCATTCGTTGGAGCTTTCAATTAGGATAGACAACGCAGGGTTTTTTTGCAACTGCAGTGACTGGAGTAACTGAGACTAACTGAGGCATCGGGTTATTAGTCAGCCAGTTAACTTGCCCCTGCTAGCTCGTGGTATGGATTCAGCTGGCAGGAACTTGCTGAAAACAGGAACAAGACTGCGTCTTTTTCACAGTTTTTCCTATCGGTCTGCATAAGGGAGAACAAATTCCTTTCCCTTCTTTCGCAAAGGACCTGCCGATTTCAATCATAAACAATACGTTCTTTCCGGTAGATCATATCCGAAGCGAGTTAAAGACATTGGATGATCTGAAGTCTCCGGGATTAGACGGAATTTCACACAAACTTCTCAAAAAAACATGTCAGTAAACGTTCTATCTCACTACCAATATTCTTCCAAACGTCTTTTGGCACTAAGACACTTCTTGTCCGTTAGAAGCTGATACACATAAATATTCTATACAAATTCGATGGCCGGACGTTGGCGACAAATCATAGGGTTATAAGCCTGACACGCTTTCTCGCCAGTCATGAAGAGGGCTATGAAGAGCGAATTGGTGCATTTCCTAGGGGTTCACAACTCGCCATCGAAATGCCAACACGGGTATTGGGAAAGACAATCTTGTATGGCAAATTTGCTATGGTGTCTCTAAAGCGGGATTTGAGCTCCCGGCAACAGGCTCGCGGTTCACATCGCTTTCATTAACATTCAAAAAGCCCTCGACACTGTCACACCAGAAACTGTTATACAAACAGGAAGAATAGGAATTAGAGGTAACATCCTCTAGTGGATTGAAAGCACCCTTCTGAGTCAGAACCAGGTTGTGAGAATCGGTCAGGAGAAATCAGGTTCTGCTGCAGTCGAGATTGGTGTTCCGCGGTGTTCAGTATCGGGATCCATTTTGTCCTTAATATACGTGACAATTTTGCAGGAGATCTGGACTACAAAACCGCGGTGGTTGATGACGACATGGGAAGTTGGAGTGAAGTTTGGGGTTATGTCGACGAAGATAGATTGCAGATCAACCTAAATCGGTTGGGAGAGTACTCAAATCGTTGCAAATGTGGTTCAAAATCGGTAAGTGCACTGCACTTTGCCCCGTCAGATCCGGCAGCACAAAAACTTCCTTCTCGCTGGTGCAGCTGTGCAAAACGCGTAAGCCAAAAAGACCTCAATTTCCTAACGAAGAACTCCTTGAAATCACCTGCTCGTTGCTCAAGAGTGGAAAAAATCGCAAAGTCTGTGTTGTACGCCATCAGAGAGACTTTTAGGGGCATAAGTGAAAACCTATTCTCCAGGATCTTCGGAACATCCATGAGACCGCATTTTGGAATATGGCCAGGAGACCGTATGCATTTCAAGTTCAAAATAGCTTCGAAAGAGTTAAAAGGAGAACAACTAAACTGGTTACGTATTGATGCTCCTTACTCTATGCAACCCGCCTATCAAAGCTGAGCCTCCCTCCCTTGAGCTATGGACGAATGTACGGAAATCTCTTGCAAGTACTTCGCACTGTAATGAGGCTGGATTGCAAGCTGACATTCGGGGGCTTCTTTGGATTTTCTACCACGATCAATCTCCGAGGTCACCCATTAAACCAGCCTAGTCAGCAGGCTAGGCTGTATGACAGAGTTCTCTACATGCATAGGAAGATTGTAGTCTACAAAGTTCCCTGTGCTTCCTTTGACGTCGTCTATTATGGCCAAACTTGGACACCTGTCTCAGCCTCTATGCAAGGACATTAGTTTGCTATGAGGACACAAGATCGGCTATTCAATATGGCCATGGACACCCTAGGCAGTGAGGCACAAATGCTCGTTGCAAAACATTCGCGTTATTGGCGTCTGCCAAACAAGGGAAGGTCGTGAATTCTTGATAACAGTGCACTCACATGTGCATCGATTAATTGGCCTATCAATTTATATGTAGTGTACAAATTTTTCAAAACCACTTGGAAGCGACCGAGCGCTTCCGACGGCTGGTGTCCATTCCTCGCATTTGGTCGCGAACTAGGTTGTGGTCTAGTAAACTTAAGACAGCCTTGTCGATAGCGTATATATGTACACTTTTGAGGACTGTTAGGATGCGCAAAATGCAAACTGTGAGTCGCAACCTCTCTCAAGCGGGGATAATCTGGAAAAAAATCGAAGAAGATTGCAACCAGTAATTTTGCAAATATTAAGCATTTGATAACGAAGTCTAATTTCAAGACGAGGGTTAAAAGTCTTACACTCCCTTGGACAAATCTTATTCTTAATTTTGTCAACTATCTTCGTGTTTGAAACCGATCATCACGAACGGTTGTCTGGTTTTTCGTGACATTTTTCATACTTTGTGCGTGGCGTCCTAACGCGAGAATGTACTTAGAGCACCACAATTATCACCGCCCAGCCCCCTGTTATGAGACAATGGGAAAGACACCGGCAGGAGTTGCATATTCTGCATATTCTGGCTGTCAGAGTCACTGATGCTGGACCGGCTGTAGGGCCGCTCATGTCCGCGTGTGCGAATAAGCGTCATTAGATAGTCAGTCAGTGCCAGCCTGGACAGTTACTTGGTGGATAGTAGCATTTGTGGGCGCCTGTGATTGATTATTCTTGAGGCTGAATGTGCCCAAGTTCTGGGCTCGGAAGTTGTGATCACATGAGTCCTAACGCTGCGTGGGTAACAGAGGCAGGTGGTTTAATCTCGCCTGAATCACTGCATGCTCTCTATTTTAGTTTCACCCAGCCTCCGTCTGCTTTTCCAACTTCTATCAGTTTAAAAGCTGCGAAAACTCCCATCGAAGTGTTCAGAAGACGAGTTGGTGAGCATATGTTGTTTTCGACAAATTCCCATCAGGCCAGTACAATTATTTGGGAGCGGGATACAGTCAACCATGTCAGGGATTGAAAAATCGACAAAATTTGATTTTAAAACCTCATTTTCGATTTTATTACGGTCACAGGCGTTCATTAAACCGAAGAAAGGACAGCAGTATTCGAGGAATAGAAGAACAATCAGTTGATAAAGTCTTAGCTTCATTTCCGGAAGGAGAAAATTATGTGGTATGAATCCAGATATCTGTGCGGCTTTGGCGCAGATTCTATCTGCATGAGGTGATAAAGTAAGTTTATTCGTATAACTTAAACCTAGGTCCTTTATGGTTGGGCATTCTGAGAGTGGGTTGTTCTGAAAAATTAGCGGACCAGGAAGTTTGGCAGGACCAAAAGATATGAAACTACACTTCGACGATGAAAACTTCATCTACCATGTCGAAATCCATCTGCTTAAGCGTAGTAAATTGGCATTCATTTTTCCAACAAAAACCTTTGCGATGTCCTTAGAATATGAGTAAACACACTTGAGGTCATCCGCATAAGTAAAACTTTGCTAATTTCTAAGTTCAGTCGAAATATCATTTATGTAAAGAAGGAAGAATGGCGGACCCAGAACCGTGTCTTGCAGTACGCCACTTGTGATCGAGTGAGGTGTCGAGTAGCTATTACCGACCATGACCTTCTGATATCGGTTGGACAGATAGGACCTGATGAAGTCGAGTATAGGCGGCCGGATGCCGAGACCTTCCAATTTTACTAAAAGGCGTCTATGGGACATTTTGTCAAAGGCTTTGCTAAGATCAAAGTAGATAACTACCACTGACTGCCGCTCATTACGATGAGAAGTGATTAGATTAAGAAATGCCAAGTGGCAAATTTCGCAGGATCGTTCAGGTAAAAAGTCAATGCTGACTAGGGCTCAGAAGCCGATTAGTTAGACAGAAGTCAAGAGTTTCATTAAAACTATCCTTTCAAGAAACTTTGTTAGAGACGATGTTTTGTGCACGCCCCGAAAGTTATAAACATCGGACCGAGATGCAGACTTAAAGACATTAATGGTAATTGACGTCTTTCATGTCTCAGAAAAGAATCCTTTTGAAATATTAACCAAGACTTAATGACTAAGCAATATAGGAATGTCGGATGCTTGCTTAATAATCGAATTTGTAATCCCATTTGTTCCTGAGCAGTGTGTGCGTATCAAACAACTTATGTGTTTCTTAATGAGATATGAGGAGACATCAAGTTTACTCAGTGTCCTATCTGAAAGTGATTGAAAGAAAGGTACCGGATCAGACTCGGTAGCAAGGTGTTTTGCAAAGGAAGCACTAAACAACTCTGCCTCGTCAGTGTCATCGGTGAGGGAGATTTTGTTATCATTTAGCAGGGGTGGAAGTTCGTGACCACGCCTAGAGGAGGACCGATGACGGAAGATGTTAGCGACGGATTTGCCAGGGTTCGAACCACTGAGAGCAATTGATTCTCTTTGCCTGTCGCGCGCTTGGCGCATCCTTGAAGCCATCTCAAATATCTCTGTAATTCTAAGATGAACTGATATAGAACTAGTGGGTGGGTCACGCAGCTGCCGTCTCAACTTTTTAGTCTGTTGTGAAGAAAATAAGGAAAAAGGGAATCCGAAGAATCAGGCTTGAGATATTTACGCGTCACAAACTCCATGATGCCCTTGGAAACATTGGACATGACATTACGAAGAATGGTTGCATCGCTAAAAAAGAGGAAGCCACACCAATCCAAAGATCTAATATAGTTATTTATTAAGTCGTTATCCACGCAATAGTAGTTTAGGTAAGTCCGAACGGCGCTGATGTTTTTTGAAAACGCAGGCAGTAAGCAATAATGAATAAATACGTGGTCACCGTCAAATGGGTCCTTTTTGAAAGCAACAAAAAGAGAAGCAGTATCATTGATAAAGATTAGATTTAAAATGTCGTTATCTGTTGTTGGAGAGCGCACTAGTTGGGAATAGTTAGAGAAATTCACAATATCTTGAAAGAGCTGGAATACAGGTGGACATATATCTGAAACTTAGTCTATTTCAGGAGGGTTAACATCCCCAGTGATTATTCTAACACCGAAAGCATCTTCCGAAATTAATTTAAAGGTTTCACAGTGTTGCGAATCATCACTGACTGAAGAATTTGAGGTATTTTAGGTACAACCAATAATTGCCTTTCCTTTCGGCAAAGCAGAAGTTCCCCGTGAATGAAGAAACATCCAAGTAATAGGGAGAGTGTTTTAGGTAGGATTTAAGATAAAGAAGACAACCACCCCACGCCTAATCGTACGGTCTTGATGGTAAAAATCGAAGTCATCTATGAGAAGGCAGAGCTAGGAAATAGTGAATGGGTCCAAGATTCTGTTACACATATAATATCGGACGTAATTTCGAGAGCAATGGCTCCGATTTGGATCATCTTGTCTAAAACAGACCTGGCATTCAATAATATAATATCTAATATGCTTCGAACAGCAATATTGTTGTCGACGGTATTCTAAAAAATTTAGAGGCGTATATAGGAGCTGTGAATTTTTGATGCTTGGAGAATAAGTACCAGTTAGTCTAGAGTCATTGACGTACGGGAGGTCAGCAAGAGAAGGTCGGGCATGAGACCTAAAGGATGTTGGGATATAGTTTCGGAACATTGGAATGTTAGGTGATTTAGAACATGGATAGGCTTGTTTTTAGTTAAATTGTGGTGGAAGGGGAGGAGGAAGCCTAGAAGGAAAGTAGTGGCTAGTGGGGGAGGGTAGGCAGCTATAAGAATAAGAGGGTGGCAAACTAGGGCAGTTAGGTTGACTTACCTGAGAGCACTGGGCCTTAAGTAGTGGGAAACCTGAACTAGGTTGGTGCATAAATGACTTAGGTCAATTTACGTATGAATTATTCGCTGGATATATAATAGGGTTTTGGTAAGTAACCGGTACGCAGGAAAGAGAATTATTTGGCGATATAATTGGAGCTGCGGGGTTTGTAGACGTGTTGGGCTGTAAAGGCTTGGTAGATCTAAGTGAAGGCGGCGTACCCCTAAATGGAACTGTACTACCTGTCTTTTGGGTAGGAGTCTGATTCAGTTTTGGAGTCTCACCGTTCTGATGCGAAGCCACAGGTGACTTCAGACGCTCCTTCAGACGCTATCGTCAGGTCTCCTGGTTAGAAGAACATCTGTGAAAGTGGGCGAGCAGTCCAATTCCATCTCCAATGTGGAATTGATCGGCTGATGTTCCCGGTTTACACTATCTTAGAGAGTAGATATGTCGGTTTCTGTGGTGTCGCTTGCTAAGATATCATCCGATCCGCATCTCCACTATTTCATTTTTACATACATTCTAGAGTTTAAGTGTTGACCTTCACGTCGCACTGCTTTGGCCGTCGTAAATTGTCCATGGGCGAGTGACCCTTCGTCTGATCACCCCAATTCAGATTTCTGCTGAACGCTCTATTATTTGGCTTAGGTTCCATTTTCATGCACATCTCACAGATAAGCGACGAAAAATAAGCAGTTCCTGCCTCACTGATAAATCATGTAGTTGTGAATCGACTCGTTTTGCCTTTACACAAATTGTTATCGAACTTAAAAAGACTCATCTTTGAGTAAGGATCCACCTCCTAACCACACATTTTAATGCGTCAATGGTACTGCTGCGTGCCTCGGACGGGGATTATGACAGAAATCCCGATCCAGAATGACCCGGAAACCAAATGGATATAAATGGAACGAGCAGGTTCTAGTCGATTTATCCTTTATCACATGGCCAAAGTAGCAGCGACCTGGGCAGACTTTAAGCTTAAAACGAGATCATATCGATCAAATGAAGTTTTGCATTGGTACCATACTCTTTGAAGAAGATCATGCATGTAAATGCGACTTGGCGTCCTTGAATGGGGATTGTTCTTTCTTCTTAGTTGAGATAGACACTTAGTCTAAGTTTACCTCTGACTGAAACAAACAGATTTGGGTAATTCGGAAGAATATTTGCCAGCAAGGAGTACTAATCAGAAAAATCGTTGCGTAATTCTTTCGTGAGTTACTTAGATCGAAATAGAGTCGATCGACTGTGATTTGATGGAGTTCCATGAAATCTACAAAATAATGAGTTCACTGTTATGGCTAGTCTAAAACTGTCGTTCATCAAGATGAAGTGACTTCTTGTCGCTCCAAACGTCGGTAGTTTGTAGTTCAAAGTCAAATTGGAAAAATGCGTGCCAGTGTGGACGGTCGGTACGCGATAGCTACGTAACTAACCTTCCCGCATACGCCGGTTTCATGACCCATGGCTCTTTGTTTTCATGGTTGTGTGAGGCGCATCCTTCCCTATCTGACCACTTCTCGGATAGGTAGGTATTCTGTCATGGCTTCCAATGTAATAACAAAAGCTGTTTGCCTTGGCGCAAGATCAACTGTGTGAAATGTCCGTAATCTTTGCGTCCAATTAACACGAAAAATAGGACCGTTCATAAGAATCTAACGTAAAGGGTCTAATTCTGCTAGATTGTTTCAATAAACACAGTGCTTTGAGTAGACTACACCTGAACCACCAAGAACGTCACTGTGAAAGATCGGTATTTGCCAAATGCAAATGTATGAAGGATGAAATCCATACACGTTGTAAGGTAAGTGGAGGTTCTGTGAATAACGATGAAGAATATGGCCATGGAATATAAAGCAGGCAGTTGTGGGATAGGTAAATGGATAGTGATGGAACGAGATAGCATGTCTACCAGCCTTATTAAAGAGAAGTCCAGGAATCTTTAGTCAGTTTAGGTTAACGAAATAAAATGAAGGGGAGGCTGGTCATGGGTTCTGGTTTTCCAGGCTGTAACATTTCTGTAGGATCAACGAAAATCCATCTAAACCACTAATGAAAGAACTAATAAAAATCAACCGAGAATAACAAAAACAAAGGCTTAAAAATAAATATATGAAGCTGGTGGTCACATCAAGGACTCAAGAGAAAATATAAACAAGGTGACCAAAACGTACCGGTGATATTTTACTAGTTTAAAATTTAAGCGCGAAAGGCGAAATAGGTATATCGAGCTTTTCGCTGTCGGTCTACTGTGCTATTTGTTTGAGCTCAAAACCCTCCACACTCGTCTTTATAACATGCTCTTGCGTTTTCCTCCCCTCAAACATTTCCATCTTTGTCAGTCCTCGCGCAGTCTTCTGAGATCGGAATCCCGAATATTCCGAGTGCTTTTGATCAACATAGATTGTAGCGTAGACACATCAAGAATGTAAAAACGGCAGTTGCATATTGACTCAACTTTTTGGCTATCGGTTTCATCCGCAGGACCCGACCTGAAGGGTCCTTATCCACAATTACTCCCTAAGGAAACAGCGTCTGATAAGCTAGTTAATTGGTCAATTAGAAAAAGGGGGATGTGGCTACTCCGATTGTGTCTTAAAATATCTTAAAAAGTGAAAAGTGTGCTAACTGAAAACAAAGTTGTGTTAATTCAGATGATTTCTTTGTCCTTCGCTCCGAGAACCTGGCATATAGCTTTGGTTGTTTTCGGTCTCATGGTGATGTCGGACGCTGGAAAGTAGAGTCCAAGTCTGTTCGAAATCTTCGAACATCACAGGGCATTATTTACGCGGACAACACTGGACATTAACCCATAATGAGAAATTTGAATATCTAAGCCATTGGATAGTTTGCAATGCTAATGCTCTTTCACAAACCAGGAGCTTCCACCCTTCGCCTCATTCACATCTCACAAACATCAACCTCACTAGTTACATTTGGACTGCCACTGCGGTCGGCCATTTCGCATGTCCACCATAACGTATTCCTTTCTATCCGTTAAATAATCTCTTTAACAGTGCGTAGTCACTTCCCGAGCTAAATTATACCTTCGAAAAATTCTATTTGCGTCTGTATCACAGAATCTCCTCTATTTCCCTTTGCTTGTAAACAAGAAACATTCCCAGTTTCAGCGCCGAGAGTTATCCCAGTCTTGACCATTACTCTCTTAGGAACTATCCCAACTATGGTTTTATTTGAGGTTGCATAAGAGTTTTTCCATGCGATTCAGACCTCTTGACAATTGTCTGCTCAAATTTCTTTCCTCTTTGTCGCTACTTGCAGTTAAGAACTCAGCTTCCTCTCGCTTTGCTAAGAACTACTTGGAAGCATTCCAATACGCTTCTTGTACATTTTGATGCCCTGCCGAGAACTAGTTTCAAAAATATACAGAGAATGTGACGCAATGTTTTACTTTGCGTTGGACATTGGAAAGACCGTACAGTTCTGGTATGTTTGTATCTAGGCAGTTATTCGTCGTGCAATTAAGTTGAAGCAGAGAAATTCTACCTAAATCGACTTAGACGAAGCCTAAAATAAACTCAAGCCAGAGCCATCAGATGACGATATATTATGGCCAGCGCATAACTGATGCGCACCACCCACCTCGCAATTTCAAAGGACACAAGTAGTAGCAATTAAAACCACACCGAAAATTATGCATGTCTCTCAGTTAAATTGCCC